CTTTTTTTTTTTTTGAAATAAGATCAGATGTTAATCTCAAGATTTCTTTTTTGAAGAATCTGCAGATGCGCTAGATTGTCAGAAGCCGAGACGGAACATCTAGTTGTAATCTATGTATCATTTTTTAAATATAAATCCAATGAAGAGAAGTTTATGTCATGTTGCGGATGCATGTATGAGTAAGATCCTGTGTTTCATCCTCTAGCTGTAGAGAGAGAGAGAGAAGAATGGAGATTAAATACGATAAAAAAAACGTTCTGGAACGATGCTTCATATACATCGCTGAATTCATAAAATTGCTAAAGTTTTGTCAGTTGCTCCTGGCAGGAGAATCGTTGAGCTGGTAATCTCAAAAAAATGCAATAACTAGCAGCAGACTGATCACCACTGTTCAAATTTTCACAGAATGCGTCATAAAATGTCTTCAAACACATGACATTCAAGTGAAATTCTTCTATTCTTCTATTTCACTTCATCGCAGTACTCTCTTTTTTATTGTCAATGAAAAATTGCCGTTTCTTTGTCTTTATCAAATCGTGCCAATCTCAATGGTCACCTGTTTATAGATGTTTGTTATTCTTTTATTTAATAATTTAACACAAAATAAGTATAGTAATAAAATTAACTCACTTGCTGACGCGTATTTGGATCTTCTGGGAAAAGTAACGGTCCTCCAACTGGTGGACCACCAACAGTCGTTCTTGCATCCTTTCTTTGTATACCCAGGAACACATCATCGTTTAGCCCCATACCTTCAAAAAGATAGAGGGAAAATTAGTTCAGACTATTTGTGGGTTTTCTCCAACCGGTATTTTATTAGAACACATCGAAAAAGGCTTTCTGTGCCGTTGAATAAGAGATGAAATTTGGCATTTCACTGTTACATTGATAGTGTGTATGTATCCGAATGGCTCAACTGGGAACATACTTCTATTTGGATGGAACAGCTAACAGTACCGAAAAAAAACAGAACTGCTTGGTCACAATATCAACACCGGTGGATCCAGGGCGGAGGAGGGGAAACAGGGGGGAGGGGGGAGAAAGAGGAAAGGGGAGGAAGGGCGAGAGGTCTTCTGCCCCCTCTAGGGGCTTAGGTAGCAGCTGTTTTACTGTAGGAAACTCTGTTCGACACCACCTGTCGCTTCGCCCCTCTCCCAGGTGCCTCCCCTCGGTTGTCGCCGTAGTTTGAGGTCGATTAGTGCGGGTGGGGGTAGGGAGCGGGAAGGAGTGGGTAGCGGGACGACCGATGGGTAGGTAGCGAGGTGCCCGAGAGGGGTGTAGCGGCGAAGGGAAGAGGAAGGAGGAAAATTGCCCCTCCCCAGAAGACCGCCCTCGATCCGCCTATGAATACTAAGATCTCGGGTATTAACAGTAACGCATTTTTGAGTGAGTGTTCTAGATGTTAAGAAGATGTGAACCCTCCTCTCCGGGTGAGAGTATGGATTTCGTGAAGATATGATCCCTTCGCGTATCCTGCATATTAAGGAGGTGTGATCCCTATTCGAGAGTGAGTCCTCGATGTTAATATGATCAGAAAGAGTTTTTGACTGATTTTTGGGTATCAAAAATATGCGGCTCTTTGTGGTTGCAGCCCTACTTGTCTAGAAAAATGCAGTCCTTTTAAGTGCGGATTCTAGATTTCCAGAAGATGGAATCTCTTTTTGAATTCATTTCAGGCAATTTCACCTTCCGGCAACCTGATTTTCAAGTATCATAACAGTTAACAAAGAATAACTATTTCGGCTTGGCCTGGTACTTTAGTTGGCTGCTTCGTTAACTTCTCATATGTCTTGGAAGTCGTGAGCACTGTTGGAAACTAGTGCCTTCTCGATCTTAAGAACTCCCCCAATGCAGGGAGAGGATTTCTAGAAAAGATCTGCTTGGCAGTAAAAGAGGGTCCTTCATCAATCGCTTGCTTGTACTATTATTATCCTTCTTATTTTTCTGATTGTTTTGAATTATCGACAAATTTAAGTGATATGAATGGGCAAGAAAATGCAATAATGATCCAGATCCTGGGTACCACTTTCCTACATTTTTTTTGACATCACTTCGCGTTCTTATCTTTCATCCAACGCAATTAAATTAAGCCAGGAATAAATGAGCCATACCTGGAATTACTGGCACAAATGTCGTTTCATCTGCGGATTTTTCCGTCTTAGTTTCCTTTGCTGGCACCGCTACTGGACCAGGAAGTGACGCTAATCCGAAAATGTCATCCTGCGTGTCGCCTGGTCGATTTCTAGCCCAAAACTTCGTATTATTGTCATTTGAACCTGAATAAAAAACAAATGTAAGACATTTCAGAAGGGATGTTTTTCAGACTTACATTCAGAGAAAGCACCAAATTTATCAAATATCCAGTTATTTTCTACGGTTCTCCCTCCTTCTCCTCGTCGAATACCTTCCCACATCCATAAAGTGCAAATCGAAAAGTAAGCAGATGAATGAGCCGTTGTGGGAACTAGTCTCACATTTCATTATCGCTGCAGAATTACCCTGTTCTTAGCTTTTTCTGATTTTTATTCTATTTTAGTTCCCAGGTTTTTTTGATTTTAATTCTATTTTCAATCTTTTTTTGCTTCTATCTAATATTTCGCAGGCCAAATCTTGTTTTCTCAAATTAAAAACGTACCAGATGCAAGAATATGGCCTAATGGATGCCATTCCAGAGACCATATTGCTTGATCATGTGCATGTTCCAGGAAAGCAAGTTCCTTTCCACTGTTGACAAGCCAATATGCCAGTGAACCGTCACCACCACCACTCACAAACAAGCTTTCATGAACTGGATGCCAAGCAAGAGCTACAAAATTTATACTCAGTAAAATACGTGCACGTAGATTACGTATAGAAAAACCGACAGTGCGAGTGCAAAATTTTTGAACGAATGATATGACAATATCTGAATTAAGAAAACTAAAATCACTGAATTCCAGAGATCAAAATCGCGGGGAAAATCGCTGTTGGTATTCGATGCCAGTGATATTATTGGGATGCTTTCGTATGCCTGGCCCAACTATGCCATACTCTTCGATGCTGGACTGCGTATTTCCAGTCTACATGCACCTCTTTGGGAGCATCCGAATTGTCGCTTTCTTCCTCGCAAGTACCATTCACTGATGTATGCTGTTCATCGGTTGTTGCCAAAATCAGCAGTATGATCTGCCTATCAGATCTTATTTTCTTATGTAACAGCAATAATGTTCTGCATAGTGCTCATCTGACGGAGAGTCTGACTGTTCGTAGATCACGAAGGGACACGTCAAGAATACTTCACCTCCTTGCTTTCACCGCAACAAGCAGCGCTGGCTCCTCCATCTTCGTCACCTTCACATCCATACACCGCTAACTGTTCAGTAGACCAGTAGTGAAGAGATGACATACCGCAATATGTTAAATAAACCCCAGACCAGAACGCACCAGGTTTACCGGTGTAATCGTGCGTTCCTGCGCTAAACTTGCAGCAGTTATATCGTTAACGGCAGGAATGGCTCCTGCGTTGCGGCTTAATACTAGGATTCATGCTACTATTTTTTAGCCTTTTCCTGCATACAGGAGGAAAGGGCGCCAGCTAGGATAGTAGTGTTGTAACATGGAGCTGCGTGAATTTCTAACGTACACGACTGTCAATTTTTTGCATGAAGCCCGGTCGGTTTTTCAGTGGGTGGTCGCTCATCGAAAAATGCAAATTTGAACCAGGCTGAAACGCACGAGGCGGGCCCGTGCGATCATGCGTTTTTGCACAGGACTTGAAGTACTCAGGTCATTAACTGCTTGAATGGTTGTTGCTTTACTCCTACCTTTTGCGATCACTTGCATAAATCACCATAAATTTTGCATA